AATTACTGGAATTCTCTACCAGAACAGGTAATATCAACACTTTCTTTTGATATGTTCAAAACGAGACCGGAACTCCATAGTGTTACAAACTGAAAAGAATAACACAGGTCGATAGACCTCCTATCCTTATTGTTGAAGACTGAAGAGAAAAGTAGCCCACTACAGTCGCTAAGATTGGTGGTTTTGTTATTTAGTCATACGAAGTTTTACATCAGCGGTCAAACTGATAAAAGAAAACTATATCAACGACCCTGTACGACTAATCAGCCAATCAATGGAAACTCCTCAGTCATACAATTAATAAACAATATAAACAAATGAAGTAACCGTGAGATAATAGCATTGTTAACACACCTATGACAGTGAAAAATAATTCCTAGGAACTGTAAAACAAAAGTGAGTGATGTATTAAGAGTGTTATCATTATGTTCCATGAGCTGGCTTTGAAATACACAAAACTTACCGACAAGTCATCCTATCCATCTTTTTCAACCTACAAGTCTGGTTCGTTGATGGAGGGTAACCCAAACTAATATGTAAAATGTAAAACACATATCATGCACTTGTACAATTAAAAATACGGTCAATACTGTTCATAAATATGTCCTGATCAATCACTAAACTAACAGAATATGCAACATTTGATGTACAAATGACAGTATGAAAAATAAATGTTATATAAACTCAGTCTTAAGAAGTCGACGAACTCAATCCTTATCCTACAAAATAAATTCTCCAAGTTTAAGACTGAGAACCAATTGGCTAATAATTCAGTTTAACTCAATAGATAGATATCGATAGTCAAGTCATATCTAAGTTGATGGGATAGTAGAATTAAGATATATATATATTAACAGTAGTAATAGGACATTGTGAATCATATCAACAAAATCATCTAATCAGAATTCCAAACTTGTCATTCGTATAATTTTAGTGTTCATTTAGACAGATTGAGAAATTCAAAACTATTTTTCATTATTGTCTCCAAACTGCAGCCTATGTAAGTCTTATAATCTATCGCCTAAATGTCTGAGTAGAGACTGAATTTATTGATGTTGCTTGGTTTATCTTGCAAAATTCAGTATCATCTTGTGAATTAAAATAACATTTTAGTTGTTAAAACTATAGATGATTTGAATAATTCGGTTTAATAAACACCATTCATTGTCTTCATGAGTTTATACCTTGAACGTTAAGACAGCTTTTAAAAATCAATGCAGGAAGAATTCTCAAACACATGATAGAAATTGTGTGCTTAAATAAAATCAATATGATTGCAGTGAATTGGACAGAATGCAAAAAAGATTTGTTGGTCGAAACAAATATACAAAAACAATGTAGAAGATTTAATAACTTGACCAATTCACGACACGCCTAGGAATCACGAAATGAGGAACCATGACAGGAAACGCTGGGAATCAAAGATCGACTCTTGTGACATAAAAAATGTTTACTACACATAGGTTAAGAGGACGTAAAAATTGAAGGTAATTATCAGGTGCTAAGATACTTTAATCATTTAACTTACAATGTAGGAATCATTTCACGTATGACTTACAAACGATAATATCAAACAATGAGAAAAGTATTATCACCGCCATTAAATGACGTTGAACTACTAAGATTACTTTTTGTATACATGTTGCAAACTTGATATCCCCGTTTCATGGAAGAAAATGTAAGGGGAGATCACCGAAATTCATTCACCCACTTACATTGGATTGACAGACTGAAAATGTACTAGATGTTACTTAAGAATATATGAATTACCACGAATAACGTTAAGACATGAAATACTGTTCTTTGAAAAGGGAGTACTCGTCAAAACTGAATATTACGTCGGCAACAACAGGTAATTCCATCTGACTGGTCCCAATCACTAATTGTGCCAGTCCATAAGAAAGGACAAAAGTCCTCTTGTGACAATCACAGAGGGATCAGTTTGACTAATATAGTGTCTAAAATATTAGCTTCAATAATACTTGGACGCCTAACCAAAGCTCGTGAAGAGCAGACTAGAGAAAACCAGTCTGGTTTTCGACCTGGACGTGGTTGCATAGACCAGATATTCACTCTACGTCAGGTCCTAGAACATAGACATACATTCAGACGCCCCACAATCGTAGTATTTCTTGACCTTAAGGCGGCATTTGACTCCGTTGATCGTGAGGTTCTATGGCAGTGTTTGTCACTGAAAGGAGTACCAAAGAAGTACATTAACCTCATTAAGGCTCTCTACTCGAACACAACTGGTCGAGTTAGAGCCTATGGCGAACTGTCATCAGAATTGGTTACCTCAAGTGGTGTTCGTCAGGGCTGTCCACTCTCCCCATTCTTGTTTAACTTTGTCGTTGACATGCTTTTAAAGGTGTCACTTTCGTCATCTCAATCTCCGGGAGTTGAACTTTTACCGGGAGGCTCACTTGTTGACTTAGAATACGCCGGCGACATAGTTTTATTCGGTGAAGACTCTGACAAAATGCAGAGTCTTCTGACCACTATAAGCGACATTGCAGGCATGATCGGGATGCGATTCTATCCCTCGAAGTGAAAAATGTTACTTCAGGATTGGGTTGCATCGACACCTGAACTAATGATAGGGAGCGAAGTAGTTGAGCGTGTTGACAGCTTCACTTATCTTGGGAGTCTGATCAGCCCTTGTGGTCTGGTGTGTGACGAAATCTCAGCACGGATACAGAAGGCTCGTCTAGCTTTTGCCAAATTGCGTCATTTATGGCGTAGGCGAGATATCCGTCTAGCAACAAAAGTACGGGTTTACTGTGCAGCAGTCCGTTCCGTCCTTTATGGAAGTGAAACATGGCCGATAAGAGTAGAGGATATTCGTAGGCTACTAGTGTTCGATTACAGGTGTCTCCGACGCATTGCTCGTATATCCTGGGAACGCCGGGTAAGTAATGCAGATGTTATGAAACGGGTACTAGGTAAGGATGGCTAATCGATTGATGAAGTAGTGAAACTTCACCAGTTGAGATGACTGGGACATGTGTTACGTATGCCCGACCACCGACTGCCCTGACGTGCAATGCTTTATGGTGTAGGAGTAGGTTGGAAGAAAGCTAGGGGCGGCCAGACCAAAACATGGCATAAATCCATGAAGTCACTGACAAGTGGACTGGGCCATGTTGGTAGGTGTAGACTACCTGGTTGGGATTCGCGAGATGATAGCAACCGATGGTTAGAGACCTTGAATGACATGGCTCAAAATCGTTTGCAATGGCGAAGATGCATCCACTCTTTGTGTTCTACCAAATTCTAATCTGAATTCTTCATGTCTGTATCCTTTTTCTCCTTCCAAATTTATTTCATTGTATTATACTCCTTCAATAACATCTTCAAACCCTAATCTTTCCGATTACTGCTTATACTCTTACTACTTCTACCACTCTGGGATTTGAATCGACAAATTCATCTCTGTGCTAATGTGGTATGGCAACTCGAACTGATGTACGTACGTACGAAATTCTACGTTGTAACTGACTGACTGACTGAACAACAGGTATGTGTATATTCGTGTTCATAGAGAAGTAAACTAACATGGAGTTTAAGGATTTCGTATTTCAAACTAATTGGTATTTTCAGAACATAATTATTCGTTAAGTGGTAAAAAAACCAATCATAGACCCCTTAGTATTATGTGGCCCTCATATCGTTAATGGAAAAAACTCACATGGCACAGTAATCCCACTTGTCTTGTTTTTCAACAGTGAGTTTCCGTCTTTCGTAAACAGCATGACTGATTGCCTGCGGTTAGCCGTAGGTATTGGCTGTGATTACAGTTGTACCGTGTTACATCTGAATGAACTTTAGATGAAATTTTTATTTATTAGCGTTATGCAATAAATAATATTGGAAAGTTCTGCTTCGAATTAAGAATCCTATAACCCGATAGTGGTACTTTTGATTACAATGATATACAAAGATTCCAATTAGACTTTATAAAATGAAGTAATTTTTATCGATTCAGTCGGATTTTGCACTTCGTATGTAGAATCTTGTTATTGCAACAATTTGCTTTCGTTATAAAATGCAACAATCAATTTTAAGGACCTACCATTTGTTAGATATTCGCGACTGATATTCTAACCACAACCCTATTCCTAATGCCTGTAGGATGATTCACTGATAATCCACTAAACATCGGTAACAAGAAAGTTTATAGCAGATCTACAATGTATTTATTAAACACAGCTAAAAAATACTAGATACAAAAGTTAGGACAGCACAAATGAAGAGTCAAAAACTGTTTAGGAAAACAATGTAAAGAAGAACCGACCATGCTACAATAAAAATACAGTCATAATGAAAAGCTTATTGGGAAGAATTGTTATCTGACCTGAAGGTTTTTTTAATAGATGAGCCGATGAATTATCGTTCTGTCTCGAAAAATACAGAGAAACAAATAGCGAACGATTAGAAGAATTGACGACAACAGTAATATAACAGATCACACACGGAACATTGCACATCCTCAACAGACAACACCATAAACTTCGGGTTTCTATGAATTCAAATATATTAGGGAATGATACAAAGGGCGTAGTGGTTTGATTCAATGAAATCTAACAAATATATTGGTAGAAGGTAATTGGGCATGACCAGTCATTGGTAAAATAACCAACATAAAGTTCATGGGAAAACGTAAACTGAAAAATATACAATTCATCAACAAGTAAATAGTGCATATTGAATGCTTAATAACGGTTAAATAACAACAATAATATTAATAATAAGGAGCAAAATTATTTTAAATATTATTTAACTATATTGATAGCTTGTATACAAGAAATTAATCCGAAGTAAATGAAGCAAATAAAAATACGAGAGTTTAATTTCTTTATTGTATTCCAAAATAATCAAACCAACAAATGACAAAATATAATACGAATTCACTGATATACGTATACATTAAATGTATTTATTGAAAAAAAAAACAACTTTAAATATAATAAAATTATGTAATTGAAATTAATGAGAAAATGCTAATTCAATGTTGTACCATGTAGACTGAAACTATTAGATGCAGAATTTGTAGAATGAATAATTGTAGACTGATCTGAATTAATTATATTGATAGATTCAGATAGTGTAGAACTATTACCTGTCTCTGATGGTACATCTTCAACAACAGCAGTTATAAAACATTCCTTAGTACTTGATGTACTTGGTGATTGTTGTTTGGAATTAATTAAATTTGACTTACATTGATCAAATTCATCTGTATGGACAATCGGACTGTTTGAAGATGTAGAGTTAATTGTATAATATGAAGGAGAACCGTATGAAAAACGATTAATTCGTTTATTATTGTTAGACTGTGAATAAAATGTATTACACCAGTGACGAGTAAACCAATTACGAAATGCATTCACAGACGATTGATCATTTCTAGGAGGAATGTTACTATTGAGAGGTTTATCAGGATGAAATATATTTTTAAAATTTATTATACGCAAATTACGCTGATTCACTGGATATTGTGACGAATTTAAATTAACTGGATTATTGGTGGGACAAGTTGCCTGTGATTGTTCTACAGACAGATTTGTCCGTGATGTTAAATGTCCTGGACAGTTAGTGTAAATAAAATTCATTTGATGTATTGATAAAATCTAAATGTAGGATAGGAGGAAATAGAGAACGGTACAAATAGCTTTTAAGAAAATCGTTTAACTGTTTAGCATTAAAAAAAATAAAATAATTTAAAAAGATTATAATTCTAACTAAAAACATATTAGGAATTTGACTATATATGTGGAGTTTAGAAATCTAATAACTGGGATACTTGTCTTTTAAAACCTATTAACTGTTGGGATGAGCCGAATAAGTTAAAATATAAAATTCTGAAAGCTATTCTCTGAAATATTAGTATACATAGACATGCACATTTTAATTTGCATTTACCGAACAACTGGTTTGTGGTATTTTTACACCGTCCAAACAGTAACTCAGTCAAACATAATGTAGAACCTGGCACATGTGTACATGGGTTCAGTTTGTCATGTCCACTGAGCACAGCGAGATGAAACTGTCACAGCAAACCCCAGAGAAGTAGAGATGGTGACAGTATTAATGACAATAAAAAACTTTAGGAATTCAAGATACAATGTGAGAAAACATAAATTGACCAAGTATTAAGATAAATGTATGAGAAATTTGGGAACTTAGGGCCTAAGCAAAGATAGAGTGAATGTACCTGCACCAATAAGAACCATTTGAGCAATGTCGTTCAAAATCGCTAGCCATTGGTTACGATAAAAATGCTGACCACAACCCACCTACATGGCTCACTCCAGCAGCCAATGACAGATTCCATGTCTTGGTTTGGACGTCCCTAAATTTCCTTCAACTTATTCCTACATTGGCCATCGTCGCGAGCCGAGAAAGCCTGTGGATAGATATATACGTAATACGTGTCCCAAGCATTTCAGTCGATAACGACACACTACCTCGTCAACTCCTTCCACATGCTTATCTAGTACTCTGAATCTAACTCTAGAATCGCTAACTTTATGGTCCTAAAATATATATATCACCGAATACTAGTAACCTATGTATATCCTCTATTCTTAATGATCATGCTCCACACCCATAAAGCAGAACGGCGTGAACTATTGTGAGGTAAACTCGTTCTTTGGTTGCTAAATGGACATCTTGTTTATGTCGCAAGTTATATAAGTTGGTAAAAGCCAAGTGGGGTTTCCAAGTTTTCGTCAGACAATAAACTACCGGACGTAATGAAGCTTCCAAAATAAATTATGCGACAGATGAACTTAACTAATTCATTCCCTATCATTAGTTCAGATGTTGGTGCAGACTAGTCCTGAAGTAAAATTTTGAATTTAGATGAGAAGGAATGAATCTTAAACATACTTGCACTGTTGCTTAAAGCCGTTAGAAAAACGAATTTTTTCACTGTCTTCACCAAACAACTATATCTCCTGAGGATCTTCTGGTAGAAAATGCATGAGGTAAGGTGATGAACCATTTTTAGAGCAACATTTCCTAACACCTTCTTTACGTTATGTAAGTACAGCATTGATAAAGATGTTGGTTGTCTAATGGAAGCGCGTTGCTATCATAATACTCTAGTATAGTTAAAAGTACGGCAACATCTTTAGAAATCACGTTGCGATAAATGCATTTATTGAAATAAAATACAGTCAATACAATAAAAATATTGAACACTTACCTCCGAATCATGGGTCGTTGAGCATAATGGACCTATTAACGATTGAGTGGTCGAAGTTGTTGCCTCTTTATTATTATTAGACATGGATACTGAATGACCAGTTAGTGAACCAACCGTTGCGGTTACAACAGAACATGTTTGGTGAAATATATTACCAAGGAATGATTCGCAGACCATAAGCGCTCTAGGTTGACATGACTCAGATGTACTAACAGATGTAACTACACATACTGGCAACAGATTTGTGCTCCACACAGATGAACTAGCCAACTGCTTTGGGGGAAGAGGTAAATTTGATAACAATGGGATGGTAATACTGTTTGTCATACTATGATTTGGTAGAGTTATGTCATCATTTTGAATGAGTGGAGCTGAAACTGGATTTTCAATATTCGACTGTTCATTCGTTTTAGGGAACGACTGAGCATGAATTATTATCGAATCGGTAGCATTAGCAAAACCATTAGTACCAGTCAGTACGACATAAGTCAATGGAGATCCATGTGCGACTGTCAGTAGGTTACTCATCATTTGTGGTTGACTAGTAATCAACGAAAGACTTTCTATCACAGAAACATCATTACTCGTTCGTGGGTTGGAAAAGTTACCCGTTACAAGATTAGAGAAAGTTGAACAAACTGAAGGTATGGATAAAGTTGGACCAGAGGTAGAAAGTACTTGATTAGATAAGGTTTCCAAGTTTGTATAACTACAAAACAACTCTGCGCGAAAACCATATGCTTGTAAAATATCCAGTTTGCACATGGGACAACTACGTTGTTCCAGAAGCCAAGGATCAATACAAAGTTTGTGAAAGTAATGTCTGAAAAAAAATAACCATCATGAAGAAAGATTTACGAGATGAAATTTTATAAAAACAAAAGTAAAATATTAAGTTGAAATAGTATCTCCCTCCTCAATCATTTATCAAAGTAAAACAAAAGGAGACTTTAAAAGGTCAGTCAGTGATAACAATATTCATTGAAATTAATGAACCAGCTAAAATCCTTTACTCTAATGATAGAAAGTGAAATTTCATATTAAGCTTAATGTTAAATGGCAAGTGAATTCAATATCCTATATGTCAACATATTCAATCATTTTGATCTTGCTAACTCAAGTAAAGGTAACCTAATATTGTAGATTTAACTATTTTATTAACGATTTTGGTAAACTAATGAACTTTCCCTTTAGCTAGGGTTTTTGTTGGAATACAGTAGCATTTTGTTCAAAGCTCTTGTAAGTTCAGTAAAACAGTAGTCAAGTACAATTAAATTAAACAAATGTAGGGAAAATACTAAAATTCACATTCTTTATCTCATTCTTACATTTTCATCATGAAATAGGTTGTATATTCGTTGCTTATTTTAGTCCTCTTCTATTATTGGTTTTTTCAACAATTAATACACTATTTTATTTTGTTGCTTAGGGTGAATCATTAACTGTACATAAAAAGAATTCTCAAAATTCCCTTACTATTGACCTTAAGAGTTTGTTTACAAAGAATGGGCTTTCTTCCATTTGTTTATCGGGTTAGTTTCAGAGTTGTTGTGATGGCTATTGGTGACCATTTATGGACTGAATTAAGTTTGTATTTCGCTCTTTGATAAATCATAGTTTTTTTCCCACTTCCTACATTGTCTTGATAGACATTTAAAAAAAACAGTCAATCAGTCAGTCACAACGTAGGACCAGGCACATATATGCATCGGTCCAAGTTGCCATACCTCGTTTGCACAACAAGATGAACACCGGATTCATAGAAGTAATTAATTTAGTGGTGGTAGTATATCAAGAAAGTTTGCATATAAGGATATAGTATAGGAAGGAAAAAAGTTATGAAACAATTTTAATCTCAAGGTTTAAGGGAAGATAAAGGGTGTATACACCTACGCCATTGTAATCGATTCTGAGCCATGTCACACAGAGTCTCCAACCATTGGTTACGATAGTCACGCGAACCCCAACCAGGTAGTCTGCATCTACTAACATGGCTCAGACTAGAAGCTAGTGACTTCAAGCACTGATACCATGTTTTGGTTTGGCCGCCCCTAACTCTCTTCCAACCATCCCCTACACTAGTCAACATTGCGCGTCATGGTAATCGGTGTTCAGACATACGTAACACGTGGCCCAACCATCTCAGTCGATGAAGATTCATGACCTCATCAACTGGTTTACCATCATTCCCTAATATCATGTGTCTAACCTCACTATTACTTAGCCGGTGATCCCAGTAGATGCGAGCAATATTTCTAAGATATCTGTGATCAAATACTAGTAAATTACGAGTATCTTCTACTCTTACTGGCCATGTTTCGCAGCCGTAAAGTAGAACAGAGCGAACTGCTGCGCAGTGTACTCGTCCCTTAATTGATAGACGGATATCTTGTCTTCGCCATAGGTGACGTAAGTTGGCAAAAGCCAAACGAGCTTTTTGAATCCGTGCTGAGATTTCGTCAGACACCAACCTATTAGGGCTGATCAGACTTCCAAGATAAGTGAAGTTGTCGACGCGTTCGACTACTTCAATCCCTATCCTTAGTTCAGGTGTTGATGCAGGCAAAAAAAACAACGGGGAGGGATTAGAGAATACACCCCGACAAACTAGGATGCGTCCCAAACGAAAAATTGTGATGAAGTTATCCGTGAACAAAAGAAGTACCACTGACATCAAATCAAACACCAATGGCTCTGTCGTTGGTAACGCTGACATTACAGCCGATTGTCAGTATCATATACTTAATAAATTTATCACCTGGTTTTGATGGTGAGACACTTAGTCAGAATCGATTTCGCTAGTTAGGACTGTGCCTGAATATCTTCAGTCAGTGATCTGGTGACTAACTGCCTTTCTTTAACAAATAATACCGTTTTCTGAAGCTCACAATAATTGAAAGAAACAACTTCGTGGCATGGAGACATATTTAACACTGAGTGTGACTAATCTGGAGCGTGATACCACTACTTTAAGACAGTCTGGATACTAAGTTGAACATTATCAAACGATGTAAGTAAAATATTATTTCAACGAAAAAAAACGAGAACAAAAAAAGAACACGGACACTGAAAAACCGTTTTATTCTAGTCTAGGACCTCTTAACAACATGCCATTGGGTTTACTCAGTTCCATTGTTTTTCCCCATATAATTAATTGGACAGTGAGCGAAACATATAAATAATTATTAGCGGTGAATATGGCTTCCTACCCAATAAATCTTACTGTACTGAACTACAAATCTAGATACCAATCGAGGTGTCATAGTTTAGCTTATTCTAATTTAAACCGGCAGGAACCTGATTTGGAATGGGATATCTTACAATCTTTACCATCATCTTTTGTAACATTTCAGTTGTTCAAATTCAGTATTAGTTAACTGGATTACTAATGACATTGTTTGAAGAAAACTCAGATTAAGTTACAACTTAAAAGGACAACTAACCGACAAGGAAGAATGCGAATATTATCCATTGCTTTAAAAGGTTCGATACATATTGCACACTGTTCACAGTTCGAAGTTATTTCCTGCGGCAAAATAAGAAAATTAGAAACTTGTTGGTGAGAAAGCTTTTTCAAAACAATAGTAAACACAATAATAGAAATGTATGTACAAATAAACTATTACAAGGATCAATAAAATATCTCACTTATTGGGTTAGACGTTTGTGATCACTAAGCATTTATTAATATAATTAGGGATTTTGGTAATGATTTATCAAAAGACATTTGCCATGTAAATGTTAGGTAAGAAAAAAGTACAGTTATAATGAGGGAAATTAAGAAGTTCTCATCTACTACCACTACTACTACTACTACTACTACTACTAATAATAATAATAATAATAATAATAATAATAATAATAACAATAATAATAATAATAGAAAGGGAAGTCCTATAAACAAATTGATTATAAATCAATATTTTCTAATTATTCGATAAGACATTTTCGTGTAGGATAATGAGACACAGAAAAAAGTAAATATAACATTTCTCAAGCCAATCACCACTATTTTCCTGAACTACTCTTAACAAAAAGTAATAGACCGAAAGTAAAACTGGGTATAAATGACAGACCATTTATGAAGACCTTTTTAAACAAAACCCCATCTGCTCTTTGACAAAAAGTCATTTACTCAATAACTACATTAGCACTTACCAGCCCAACGAGCAAGTTTCTTATGACTCAGTAGTACTGTAGATTTAAAAGCAATACTAATCTGTATTCTCGATCTCCGCTACACCTTTACCGGTTGTTTACCTTTTCCAAAAGTGCGGGAAGTTAAACAAGAACACTATTGTAATTGCGTAATGTAGTAAATGACACCTTGACTTACATTTGGGAAAGTATAAAAATTAATGTGCTGGAAATGAATAATTCAAGTGTCGAATACGTAATTTAAAGCGAACAAGTGAAGGCACAGTATGGAAAAGTCTGAAGAAAATTAAGGGCTAATTTCTGAATCCAATAATTAACTGGCAACAAGAATATCAGAATCTAATTTATCTGCAAAATTCGCACCTTCCGTAGTAGGTTCTTTAGAGAATATATTATATTCTTAACTACCAACTTTATCAGTATGAATACATGAGTAAAAGAAATGTAAAGCTTCATCTGGAACTGTCATGGATAAAAAATGAAGTTAACTTCTGAATACAATAAATTGTTGATTCAATGGTTAGCGCATTGTTTTCAGTCACCGAGCCACAAGTTTTAGCTCACTCGACCTACTTCAGTTAAAACAACCGAGAATTACCGCAAGATCTCATAAAAGAAAATGTTATTCAAAGCCGATGGCAAGAAATATACTTGGTTATTGAGTCATTTACATATATCTGTATGGATGTATATATTTCTTATGGAATTCAAGCCAATATTTAGCAATCCAATATACGTTGGTTAAAGAAATTGAGGCGAAAACTTTTAATCTATTTAAAACACTGATTATAAGGATACAAGTAAAGACTGCGAAATAAAATTACCCAATCTCCAGGATGCAGGGTTTTGATAGGTATACGTGCAACAGCTTTTTTTGCCAATTCCGTAAGCCTTCTCTGAAATATTGGAAAACGAAAATTTATAAAGCATGAATAGTTAGGTATAATTAAATAATAATAATGTTAATCCACTTGTGAAGTGGAATTTGAGATCAGTTGTATTTAAAGAAAATTTGTATCATAAACGTAAATTAACTGGGAACCGGAAAGCACGACCATACATTTTACGCGCTCTCCACAAGGTGCAGGATTTGATCTCAAGGGAGGTTGTGGGTGAAGCTATTTAGTGAGTCGCTAATAACGACAAAGAATGTGTCTAGCACTCCACGGTTGCCAATGGTTTATCTGTTGATGTCAGTTTGGGAGAAATATCTCCAATCAAGGAGTGGGACTATAACTAGAAAGGAAGCCTTGTATTACCTTTACAGCTTGAACTAGCAAAAAACTGGGTGTTCTTTCAGTAAATACAGACAAACAAACTTATCACTAGCTGAGAACATATTCTTTTTTCACTACTTAATACTTGCGCGGCTGTAGCTTCTGGCTTTCGTCAGTGTTTGGTTCTATTCATCATGATGAACCGAGATTCACTGGCTGTAAAATGTATTCCTTGGAGTCCTGATATGCCAGAAAGATTTATTGGGCAGCAGTGGGCAGAAATGCAAAGTCTGAGAGAGATATTGCACTGTCGAGTGCATCAACGCAGAGAGGAAGTGGGATTCTTTTGATGAATAATTAGCATATCCAGTGATGCTGTATTTTCACAAACAGAAGAATTCAATGGTTAACTACAAAAATACCATACCTTCCATCATTCATGGACTTTCAATGTCAGCGGTAAGGTCAGAGAAGTACCGAGTTAATACCAATAAAATAAGCACTGACAAAGAAACTATGCACCACTATGTTCAATCGGCTATTCCTAGCTTTCTAAAGTCGTCCCTAAAAGTTGATGAAACTATCAATTGCTACTCCATTTCTCTATCACGTTTCTCGATAAAAAAATCCTTTCATGGTGTGTGGCACCGGGGGCTAGCAACAAAACTCGAGCTTGTCATTCTTTTCAACATTTATCTTCATTCTCGACTAGCGCAGACTACTCTGAACTACAAATGTTATTTCTGGTCTAGAAAAGCGTGCTCGGATCTACCTATATCGCTTTCGATGTTTGAACCTTATATCAAGTCGGTAATGCTTCACTAGTGAGAACTGTGAAATGTTGAGGGGCTTTTGAAAACCCCGGAAAACTCATATGGTCATTCATTTAAATCTACCAATTGATGCAAAAGAGATCTTTCGAAAACTGCTTTGCTTCTTTCTAAAACCCAGGTTTTTAAACATGATTGTGGTGGATGGTTTTAATGCCCAAGTAGGCAAACAGAGTAATGTTAAAAAGACGTGATAGTCATTTGTCTCGGGTCATAACTCTTGGACGATGGGTTGGACGCTGATGACCATTTTAAACAGAATCTAGCTACTCACTAACTCTGCTTATCAACAACCTAATTGGGAAACCATTATCAAGCCCCCAATACTCAAAGTTGAAACAGTAAAAAGGAACTTGAAATGGAAGACATCAGATGGTCTGTTTGAGTTAATTGGATAAAGTCTCTAAAGATGGTAATCCAGTATTAAAGGCTAGATACACTGAGATGTTGAAGAACATTGGGGAACTGGACTTATTACTGACCGTCCCACTTTATAAAGAGGGTGGAAATTCCCTCATAACAGCCTAAAGAATAAGTCTGATCAGTAGTAGTATCCAATATAGTAGTTAACACACACATTCGATACTAAACTACAGCCCAGAAACAGCAAACACATGAAAACCAAAAAAGTTTCTGATTGGTGCTTGGAACAGGCATAGTTCCTGTAGACGTATATCTCCACCTTAAGAATATACTACTATGGCTAGCTACCGTTTAAATTTGTTGAGTCAAATCACATTTACCAGGGTCGTCCCCTTTATTTATCTTTACATAATTTTGTCAATAGATACTGTTTTCTTCGTTTAGTTCAAGGATTGGTGCAAAATCTGTAAACTCACGAACTAAAAGTACACAGATGAAAGTTCTGCCACGCAAGGATAGCTACCTTCAAAATTGCAGTCAACCGGTGTCTGAATATAAAACCTTGAAGTATCGGCTAGGAATGAAACCAACAGTGAAAAACACAAAAGTGAGCAAAACTTAGTACGAAATGGAGCACAATGTATATCCCGAAATGCGATTTTTAAGCTAAATCTAATGATAGCGATTCATAGAGATCAAGACAGTCATTTTCCAATGGTTAGAAAGAACAAAAAATTGAAATGTGAGGTTTCCACTACAAACATTGTCACAACTTATGGAAAAAAACGTTTTTTGCTTTATAATACAACGAACTTAACAATTGTTTGGAGAATCTACTTACGGAAACTCGTTCCTTGCTGTGTAGGTACCGGAACCGCTGAACATAATAGAATACGAGCCATGCTAAACTGATCACCATAAGAAGAATGAACGAAACAGCCACAAACAAAACAGAAGAACGATTGAGAAAAGCTTCCTCGGACGCTGTTGCAGCAGTCACAACTTCAAACAAGATTTTTCCTTCTGACTTGTGTGAAACAATAGTGTTATTGGGTTGGTTAGATAATACTCCAGTATGGTGTTCATTGTTTGGCAATCCTGTGGTAGCTAATGAATTTCGATCCCTAATCGAAACCAGATTGTCACCTAAACTATAAAACCCTTTTAGTTCATACGATACATTGGTCAAGTCAGTAGTGTTAAGCCCTTCAAAATATGAAAAGTTCAATTCAGCTGAACGATGAACTCGAGAATGAAGTCCTCTATCTTGAGACAAAGCAAGTTGTTCATCAAATAGTAGGCCAGAAACAACTGACAATGTTGATAAATGTGAATGAAAGACACTTGGGAAGATTGTGAGCAAGGACAACCGAGGCATGGAAAGTTACAAAACACACTAGACCATCAATACTTGACCAAGTCCGCGAAATATCATTAGACTAATCTGTGCAAAACAAAAAACGAAGACATTACATTTAAGAGTAAAAGGAGAACGAGCAAGAGCAATAAAGACGAAACGGAGAAAATTCATGATATTATAATGTTTATAGTGACAAAAGTGAGGCTTAGGATGAAAATGTGGTAGATCTCTATGACTACTTTGAAATTTCAGTGATTTTGTTTTAGGTGAGCACTATTTGCAAAAAATTGAAGGACAAATTACCAATTATATGTCATTTAGATCTGGTGACCGTTTTTCAACTGTATGGAAAAGAATGGATTGTTAAACTGAATTCTAGTATTGGTTCCAATTGGGCACCTACATTGTAGAATTATGTTGGCGAACAACTCATCAGGACTTATGGTCATACCTGGCTGAAAACGTAGTCATTGGCCGAGTCAACCTCCTACACAGAACTACGTGTTTAAATTAAGCATTACTTGGGAAAACGATTAAATACATGTGTCATTATTACACACCAAACAAAGGTGTTTTACAAAAAAGTATGAAGATTTAACTTATCGTCTTCTAATAAACACTAGAAAAGCCCCCTTGAGATTAAAGGATTCCTGTCACAAAATGAATTTTACGTTGGTATGTTATCTTAATGAAACCCATCATTTATGTTCTGAACAAAAAAATAGCTGGTAGATCGGTCCTAAGGAAATCATAGCAAAAAAACTATTTTGAGGAAAACCACAAAAGTAAAGAGAAAACCAAAACTTTGCCGACTTATACCAGTCAAATTGCGGAGTATTCACGGGTTTTTGGTGACTTGGTAATAGCTAGTTGTATTATAGTCCGATCCCTCTATTTTAAGGTTTTCCCCTAAGTCATGGTAGTTTTCCCCCAAAGTCTGAAGAATTTTGAGGAAAAACTACAAATTGTTTTGAGATTCTCGGGACATATTGTGGAAAACACAAAACTTCTCCCAAACTTTGGGGATTTTCCTCAGACCTGTAAATTTCAGGGCTTTTGTTCCACTTCGCTCAAGTCTTTTATAACGGTTCCCCTAAAATTCACTTAAACCGGACAATAGTTTCCTTAAAATAGGGAGACTGGGAGATGACAATTTGGTACTGAATCGTCTGACGTTTTTTCCATCGGAGAGAAGTCGTCTGAAAGGATATTACCCAGGAGTCAATGGATTTATTCACTCACAACAGGAGTTTTGTTTCTGGTAGACTTGAGCAGATTTGAACTGACCACAAGCTTAAGTATGCATAACCTAAATAGTCTGTTGTTCATTAAGTAAGTTCATGCAGATTCAGTAACCTTGGAGCAATGCATTTACCTTTAGCTACTAAAGTAAGTGATAACAATTAGTTATGACACAAGCGTTAAATTGACACATCTTGACGAACGAAACTAGTATTTGATTAGGTTTCGAAGATATTTAAAAATAGTATCCACAAATGCAAGGACTGACCTTGGAAACCTTCAAACATTAAACTCATAGACTTTGTTTAGTGAAATTTCCAAAATGTGAGTTCCTTGAGTGAAGAATGAGTTAGGCTATCGGTTTCTGTGAATCGTTACATCTTGTCGAGCATTTTGCATGTTTTTTTTTTAGATGTGAACAGTATTTTCACCGTCGCACATCAATTTTCGTAATGTTTATGCCTCTTTATTATGTGCTTTAACCCCACTAGATAGTAGTTCGACGCGGTTATTGAGTCATTATATGGGTGATTGTTAAGTCAGTTTTGCATCAAGCTAAACTCAAGCAAATGAAATGCACTATTTATGAAGTCACGAATTATCTATTTTCAGACTATTAGGCAAATGTGGGCCCTAAAAACATTTTGGGTTTGACTTACCACACCAAAGGATGTTGATGAACAATGGTGTACGATAGGTGGTCAGTAAATCCATGTTGAGGCAATTCTGCGTTAAACTATTTTGGGCATGATGTATTTTTTAAATATACAAACATTCTAACCATCATAAGTATTATTTTTGACGGAGCAAACATAACAATATACAATTATGATATTTGTGAGAACTAGTGATTCCTTTGTACGTAATTGTACTCTGATTACTAATTCCGGAAATAGGTTAAGAATTTTTGTAGCTTATAATTCTTCTAAATGGTCTGCTTCTGGACAGTATGGGTAAATAAGTATTATAAAAGGATTGCCACTTGTAAATTTAAAGCCGGTTTGTGAAGCCGGTCGTTGTAATCTGATGGAAGAACGCTCAATTCTGCGCCAGTGTCGACGAGATACCGAACATTCGTTACCACATATGTGACGCATAACAGACGACTGTATTCACCGGCTACGGTCGCCGTATGATACGTGACCGCTCGGAAGTTTTCTGAAGCGTTTTGAGTCCGGAAAATTCTGCAATTTTCCGGAATTTATAGATTTTCAGTACTGACTGTGACACCAGCACCTGACGGGGTTATCTGTCTGTCGTGGTCCAGAGACAGATTGTTTTCGTGAAGAACTCCTTCGAGTGGTTTGTGACCGCCTACAGTCATTACGAAATCGAAGGTGACATGCCAAAGTATGACACAGTTCCGTAATTTCATTCTTTGTCACCTGAGGCTTTTCTTGGACTGAAAAACCTCGATGTTAGGGGATTTGGTGATCTTTAAAATGCGATCTGCAGATGCAGTTGGCTGGTCTACTTCGTTCTTCTGAAACGAAACTAACACAGCGTGCACCTGTTGAGGAAGTTTGGATAAGAAACGTTGTCTAAACAGGCCACCATTGAAAGTCCTTTGATCAATCACCTCTCTCATTCTTAGCAGCGTGTCTCCTTGAATTCGCGCGACAGCGCCTTTACTATTACGAGGAATCGTGCACATGTGTCGTCCACACCGTGCTTGTAGAAGTTGGATTCTACGTAGCAGAACAAGTCTTCAATGTTGTCTGGTCAGAATGGCACTAGTTGAAAGGAAGGTGGAGTCATGGTCTTTAACTTAAATACCTTAGGTGTCTGTTCCGTCATGGTGAAATATGAAGCACAAGAATGGATGAGAAAAAAGGTATATATATCCAGAAACACGATGAAAGATCACGATATATAAATTCCATAAAGGAACAGACTAACAGTTTTCAAGTTGGTGTACCGGATCACGTTGGACTCACCAATGAAGATGCTACAAGTATTTAGAGTTTGACAACGCCTTAACCAGTAATACGTTCTGCTATGAATCGTAACCACCTAGTGAAATCGAAATTCAGAAGCGAGGAGGCTAGAAGATACAGTTGATAGGCTGTCAGTATATCGAGAATCGATTGAACTAAACTGGCTGGTGATTGCTGAGGATGTTGAGCACGGTGTTTTCACTAATGATCTGATGAGGATTGTTTTCTTATATATATATAAATAAATATATATATGCGCTCAAAAAAGATAAAAATGTTTTTTTGTTTTCTTATATAAATAAAAAATGAGCATATGAAAAAAAGTTTTTATAATAAACTATGAAAAGTTAATTAAAGATAAAGCTTATGTCCTACGTGCAATATTCGTTAAGATGTTCTGGAAACCTTACTCGTCTTCCAGAACGCGTTGTTTTAGGTTTATCTATCGATGTTGACGAAGTATCAAGTTGTGTGTCGGTTGTCGTGTAGGGTACTACGAGTGTAGTGGCTGTGTCGTTTGCTTGTACCGAAGGAAAATCGACGTAGCTAGGGTTTCCTTCTAAGTACGCTGCTTCGAGTCGATCGATACTGATGCTATCGTTCGTACCGTTCTTATCAACTACATAGTACTTAGGTTTGCGTTGAAGAACTTTGAAGGGTCCTTCGTATGCTGATTCGAGGGGTCGTCGATGTGAGTCTCGACGAACGAAGACGTGTGTACTATGTCGTAGTTCGGGTTGAACGAAAACATCAATTGATTGAGGTCGAGTGTGAGCAGGTTTAACTGAACGCATAGCGTTTGTAAGCCTACTCGTGTAAGAGTTTAGATCCATGTTCAATGAAGAAGCTGAAGGATCCACGAATTCTCCTGGGAGTTGGAGTGTCGCTCCGTAAACGAGTTGAGATACCGTGTAACCAATGTCAGCTTTCACTGCATTGCGGATACCTAGCAAGACGAGTGGAAGAGCGTCTGTCCACTGTGAAACGTTTGAAGCTGATAATGAAGCTTTTAATTGTCGATGAAAACGTTCTACCAACCCGTTTGCTTGTGGGTGGTAGGCGGTCGTTCGGAAGCGCGTGATTCCTAATAGTGAGGTCAGACAACGGAAAAGTCCAGATTCGAATTGGCGTCCGCGGTCTGTAGTGATTGTGGAAGGGCAGCCGAAATTTGCTACCCATCGTTCGACGAAAGCGCAGGCCACGGTTTCAGCAGTAATGTCCTTAATCGGTACTGCTTCTGGCCATCGAGTGAAACGGTCTACGCATGTTAAGAGATATGAGTATCCGTTCGAGTCGGGTAAGAGTCCTACCAAATCTAGATGGACGTGGTCGAAACGAGTATCAGGGGTTGTGAAAGAACCTAAGGGACATTTGTTGTGTCTTATGACCTTAGATTTCTGACAGCTTACACAGGAGCGTGCCCACTCCCTCACGTCTTTATTCATGCCAGGCCAACAAAAGCGTTCGGCTATAAGTTTGACGGTTGCACGAGCACCTGGATGAGAAAGATTGTGCAACGTATTGAAGACGTTGCGGCGATAGTGTTTTGGTACAATTGAACGATCCCTACCTGTAGATGTGTCACAGAGTAAGGTTGCCTTACCTGCTCCCATCTGCTTAATACTTAGTTTTAGAGTTGTCGAGGATAACTCATGCTGAAGATCAATGTCTTCTTTTTGAAGCTGAGCGAGTTTAAGAAGTTCGATTCCTTGGAAACTGTTCAAGGAATTTATTCGAGACAAGGCGTCTGCGACTACATTGTTAGCTCCAGAAATATGTTGTATGTCTGAAGTAAACTGCGAAATGTAGTCGAGTTGTCGAGACTCTCGCGGTGAGTAC